TTTTCATACCATTAATAAGGCGGAAGCAGAGGCTATAAACGTTCGCAACCTCCATTTATCAAGCCACTTTTCATTAGCCCCTTTTAATTCTTGTCATGCTACTCACCCTCTTTTTGAACAACTTTGGCCATCAGTGAAGCGCAGATTATTTGCGACTGAGGCCAATCGTGCCTTTCATTCATTAGACCAACCGAGTATTTCTTCTCCTCCTCCTGTTTTGGTCACTCCTTTGTCTATTCGGAGCCCCTCTCCTTCTCGTCGTGCTAAACAATCTGCTTGTCCATCTTTTTCTCTCCCCGCCAGGCCTACTATGGCCAAGAGTGCTCCAAGCCGCAAACGGTCAGCCTCAGCATCTCCCATTCTGGAGGATGATGTTGATGATGCTGATGCCCCTCTTATCGTCAGGAGGAAGGTAATCAAATCGGTCTATTTACAAGTATGCTTTTCCCCATTTGATACTTTTCTGTGCGAATTTTTGGTCCCCTGAGTACAACACCTTTATTTTTCCTCTTGGCCCCATGTCTATCACGTTAAGGGATGTTGGGGCCCTGGTGAATTTACCACCTTTGGGCGATACCATTTTCCCAGGTATCTTAGTTTCTGGTGGCGCCCCACAGTTTGGTAAAAACTACACCGATTCTTATTCAAGCCTGCAGACCCTCCATAATCATTCGAGCGCTGAGCCTACCCAAGCTGAGCGAGTGGCCTTTCTTTTAGTTTGGCTTTGTAAATATGTTTTGTGTGTGCCAAGTATAAAGCGTTCTTTGAGTTATTTACCTATAGCGCACGAATTGGCGCGTGGCAGGCCTTTGAATTTATGTTCTTTGTTTTTGGCCGCCCTTTATAGAGGTATGGCTTTTCTTCAAGCTCAATTGAAGAATNTCATGCTTAAAAATACATCTTCAGTCCCAGAGTCTTCATCACAACCCATGGATGAGCCACCTTCTTCCCAAGGTGTCGACCCCCCAATCATCGAAGCAGAAGGTAATTCAGTTTTTGATGTCTTACCTTTGCTCGCGCTATTGGTTTCTGATTTGTTGTTCTTGAGCTTTGCAGATACTCCTATGAGTCCACCCGTTGTGGCAACATCGTCTCGCTCGGACAAGGGGAAGTCCTCACGAATGGATGAGTCGCTGGCGGCAAGCTTGGCCGAGGACGCGCCATCTTCTACGATTGTCGACGAGGTAGTTTTTCTTTTTGCTTCATTTCTATTTCCACCTTGTTCATTGTAGTGAGGATTTTTAATATTGGCAACCTTCTTTGCAGGATGCTGACAGGATTGTGCGTTCTATCCAAGATTTGTTCGCTTCCTGGGGGCAGGTCCAAATGCCTCGCCCTGCTCCATCTGATTGTCCTGCTGCTTCTTCAGAAGATGATTTGAAGTTCTTGAAGGAGTTGGTATTTGAGTACGTATCCTTCATGGATATGAACATTGGAAGGGCTAGTGCTGCCAGACACAAGGATGAACTTGAGCACTTGAGTGCGAAGTTAGAGCAAGCACTGACGCTTCCGTCGCTCAGTCTTTCTGCCGACTTTAAAGCGGCATTGAAGGTCATTCACTCCGAGGTCCTTTCTATGCTGGCCAAGAATGCTGAACTAAAGGCCAGGCGTACTCAATATCTTCGAGTTGTGGCTGAGAAAGAGTCTTTACGCATGGAGATCAACAAGGCTAAAGACGAGTTGAAAGAAATCTCTTCCGAAGTTATGATTGAAGACTCTTTGATGGTTAACTTGGCTGCTCAGATGAGGGAACTTCAAGCCGAAATGGACGATTGCAAGGCGAGGATGGCTGCTAAAAAGCGCAACGCCTCTCAGGGGATTGAGCGAACTAAATCCTTGGTCGAACAGTACAAGAAGTTGGAGGTTGATGATGATGACGTTGTGGCTGAATTGAACATCACTTCCTCCCTGCAGAACGAGGATTGGGAAAAACTTAGGGAACGAATTCGTTCCTTATGGGGTAGACTATAATTAAGACATACGATGTCTTTTTCTCTTTTGTAATTTTGTTCATTATTAACGAACATTAACTTCTTGTGCATTTATTTGACGTTTATTTTCTAATCATCAATTCTTTAATCACTTAACTGCTT